GACTTGATTCAAGAAATAAAGAATGTTGAATTTATTGACAGAATGCCAAAACCAGATTCAATATTTCTGGTTACTACTAATCAAAAGGATGATGAAGGAAAACCAAGTATAATTTCTGACCTTGCTTTTGGCACACATCCATCCTCTTGGAAAACATTCGTACCACGAGTTGTCAAAGGTTACTCCTTTGGTACTCACAAAACTTTAGAGTGTCGTGGTGTTTCCTATTGTACAACATGTAACAAAGGTGCTGAAGATGGTGAAGTTTACACTAAGAAATTCACCTTTTGTAGGAAGATGGAGCCCATTACAGGCAAAGTGTGTAATACCAAGCTAGTGAAGTTGGGTGAGAAGTGTATGCATAGGGTAAGATGGTACAAAACAGCACCAGACGAAGGTGGAAACATGATGAATCTGGTCATGTTTGAAAAGGCACATGCTCACAATACTGTTATTACAGGTAAATTCACCAAGAAGGCGGAACAACTAATTGAAGAACATGTGAAGAAGAACCCCAGAGTGAAAGCTTCACAATTAAAGAAAAGACGTTCTACAAATCTAGTTGCGAAAGATTGCTCTGCACTATTGAACAATGATGCGGTAGCATCATTGGTAAGGAAGAAGAAGGATAAGCATTACGGGCAGAACAGGTTCAAGGATATGCCAGACCTTGCTAACGCCCTAACCGAGTCGTACCAAAAAGAGCACAAAGATGATAAAAGAACCGTGCTTGGTACCATTACAAGGGAATTGGGGGTCTCAATTTATTTGAGAAAGTTTGGCAGTGTGAAAACATTTTTGAAATGGTGGAAAGCAAGAATTGATATTCTAATCAATCCAAACGTGCGTGTAACTACTAATAACATCGCAGAATCGAACAATGCGCTGATTAGAATAGTGATAGAAGATGCTAATTTGTCAATTGAATTCAAAAACAGTTTTGAAGTTGATGTTTTAACCTTCGATTTGTTACTTTCTAAACAAGCGGGGTACTTCTTGGAGACTCAGCAACAAACAAGCGTTGTTAAACCGTAAAAAGTGGGCATACAACAATGACGGAGTGCCAAACTTAAACCAGGTGGATGAAGTTGGTGGTGAAAGTGTGGAAATTAATAATGATGAGGATTATTGTGAAAATAATAATGCTGTGGATGAGGATGAAGTGGATGATGAAGTGGATGATGAAGTAGATGAAGTAGATGAAGAAGTGGATAATAATAGTGAGAATGATGATGAAGAGGAGGAAGGTGAGGAAGATGGGGATTATGTTGAAGAAGAGGAGGAAGAAAGAAGAAAGAAGAAAACAAAAGTTACTAAAAAGAAATGGAAGAATGTAACAAGAAGAAAGCAGGAGAAGAAAAATGAAGAAGAGGAAGGTGAAAGTAAAAATGAGAAGACAAAAATAAGTCATTTTAGAAGATGGAATGAAGATGTGAAGAGTTTAGGGAGTAAAAGAAAGAGGAATGTAGTAGATTATAAAAAGACTAATGGTGATGATAGTGAATAAAGGGAAATATTATTTAATGGTTTCATCAGTTCTTGTTTAATACAACAAGAATAATAAAATGCTACAATTAAAGTATAAAAAATTTGTAAAAATGCTAAAACTTCTCCAAGAATCGAACACGCGCTGTTG